GCATGTGACAATATTTCAACATTATTCATATCCCAAAGACACCCGAATCTCTGTAAAACTGAGTCAGTTATGATAGAGACTGACTAACGCAGTGGCCCTCAACCTGTGGGTTTGACCCTTTGGAGGGTTGAATGGCCCTTCACAGGTGTCACCTTGGTGTCACCTAAGACCATGGGAAAAAAATAAAGATATTTACATCATGATTCATAACAGTAGCCAAAGTAGCAGCAAAAATAATTCATAGTTGGTGGTCACCACAACATGAGGAACTGTGGTAAAGTGTCACAGAGTTAGGAAGGTTTCGAACCAGTGGACTGAAGCAAGAGAAGAGCAAAGAAGGCTTGGAGATAGGAGATCTTCAAGAGTGGAGAGCAGAGGAAGTTTAGAGAGAAGAGATTTTTTGAGATCATCTGCTTGTGCAGTGGCAGTTGTTACAATCTGCAAGAATTTGGCAATCAAATGGGCTGTTCTTGGCCACGGAGGGGTACTGAGGCCAAGCCATTTGCCGCAAGACAGTGAGACTGTAATGTAATCTCTGAGTCCGAGGAGAGAATGAGACTGGAGAAGGCAGGAGAGCCAAGCCCCAGGATCGGTCGGAGAGATGGTGGGGAGGGAGCCAGGAGCAGAGCAAGGATGAGATGGGGAGACTTAGAGAATAGGGTCAAAAACAAGAATCTTGCCAGAGGGAGGATTCCAATAGAGGGAAAGAGGTGGGTGTCTCAGCCAAGAGATGCCCTGAATCACAGTAGAGAAGCATACAGCAGACTCCAGCCAGCCAATGAGAGATGTAGTCTTTGCACATGATGGGTGCCCAGGAGGTCGTAGCAAGCTCCAGGAGCCAGAGAGACAGACCAAGAGGACACTTACCTAGCGGGCAAAGAGAGATAGGTGGTTAGAGCGGGTAGGAGAGAAACAGCTGGAGAGGTGGACTCTAAAATTTGGAGTTGAATATGATGGGTGGCAGAAGGCGGCAGAAACAGATGATCTATACCTTAGGACAGTCAAGTCAGAGGCCTGGTTCAGTTAGGAGAGGCTGGGCCCTTGGAAAGGGGTCCATTTGTATCTCTCCTGGGTTTTGGTAACAGATGTATGTGAGGGGGTGCGGGAGAGAAACTGCCAACATGACTGCTCCATGATATGGTTAAGGTTTTTATTGTAGATATGAGAGAGTGAGAACACCCAGAGGCATCTGGACAAGTCTAGAGCAGACAGAGAAAGAAGTAGACCTAACATGACCAGGGCTAGGGAAGCAAGATAGAAGGAGAGAACGGTGGAAATTGTAAGATAGCAAGAGAGAGAGCATAGAGCATAGAGAGAGAGAAAGAGAATAAGAGAGAAATATCTGGGAGAAAGAGATAGATAGATAGATAGATAGATAGATAGATAGATAGATAGATGACAGGTAGGTAGGTAGGTAGGTAGGTAGGTAGGTAGATAGAAAGATAGATAGATGACAGGTAGATAGATAGATGAGCGAGAGAGAGAGAGAGAGAGAGAGAGAGAGAGAGAGAGAGAGAGAGAGAGAATAGCTGGGTTGAGTATCTGTGTGTGTGTTGGGGGGTGGGTGTGCCATAAGCTGGAGGAAGTTTAGGGTAAAGGAGGAGGTCAGAAGGGCCAGAAGGCTAATGTGAACTTTGAAATGTGTAACGAGTACTTGTGATACTCAGGGGGCTTGGAGTCCAGCACAGGCTTATAGGTGCCACATGTAGCCATATGTCCGTTCTGCCAGAGGTAAGTGAAATGACTCCTTTTGGCAGATGGGAACTGATTTCACAAGTCCCTGAGAAATGCTGGCTTTTCTCTAACTGTCAGAAGTCCTATAGTCCGTTTTGAGCTCATTTCTGGGTCTATGGACTGCCCTTTTGTGTTTCCTTTGGGTTTGACATCCATCACATCTCCCTCTTAAGCAGACTTAAGCACACAGTAAATAAATGTCGACCTTGGCCCTGCACTGAACTTGTGTCTACTGGGAAGAAGGGACAATGTCCGTGGACTATTTTAGTCTCTGAAGTATGATCTGGCTTTTTGCCCTCAGATTAACCACAATTCTTCACTCCAATGGCCAGCTTCCTGCTTTCCTGTGAGGGGGCAGAGTGTGAATGCTGATGAGAGAAGCTGGCAGTTTATGGTGCTTCTGAGCCAGCCTCCTGGTTCTCGCCAGGTGTGCCTGGGCAAATGTTTAACTCCCAGCTCTCTGAAAAACAAATCAAAATCAAACAGCTCTCGAAGGGTACCTCGCCCTTCCACAGCCCTCAGATGGCCCTGCAGGTGCGATGTGACTACTCCACTGCCTGTTGACGTCTTATTTGAAGAGTGACCTCGGGGCCTGCTTTCCTTTGCTGAGTTTTTGAAATGAGGCATAGTTTTGACAGTGTTTATGACATCCATGCAGGTTTTCCCAAAGGATGGTCCTGGCCAAACTTGCACCCGAGCGATTTTCAACTCCAGGTTGATTCTCAATTTCCGCATGAAGACGTAAAGCTAAAACAATCCCGTGCCTGGGAATCTTCACTATTGCTGCTGGCTTGCTGGAAGCAGAAACCAGGAAACCCAGGACGGCCACCAAGACATGCCTTAAAGCAGGGTTCCAAGGCCCAGCTCTCAGCAGGCTTTTCCTCACACCCCACCTCTCCTCTCTCTGGGTGTGTGTATCTTATGTGACTCAGGTGTCACAGGAAGATCTTGAGGGCCTAGAATGTGGTCATCATATTAGAAGTACTTTACCTACTTAATCATGGCAACCATTCCTCCAGGTGGGTGCTGTTCTCATCCTCATTTTGTGGGTGAAGTAAGATAAGCACAGAACAGCTAGTTACCTTTGGAGACCCTGCTACTTGTTAGTGGCAGGGCGGGGGTTCAAGAGCAGCCTGGCATGTTTGAAAGATGTATGCTCCGCCTTCCCCACAAGCATTAGGAATATTTGCTTAAGAAGTAGACATAGCAATGAATAAATGCCCTCCTTCTTCAGATAATGATAATAATTTCCCAATATTTAAATTCCACTGACTAAAAGGTGAAATTTTATGTGATTTGAAGCGAAGCCTGAGTACTACATTCTGCTTTCTCTAGTATGGAGTGGTGTGTGTGTGTGTGTGTGTGTGTGTGTGTGTGTGTGTGTGTGTATATATACACACGTTTGGGATGTTGAAATAAATTCAACGGTAAGGGAAAAAAATATCCACCAGAAGCCTTGGAATTAGACTCTCAAAAGACAAATTGACTAAATCTCGTTGAAGATTCCCAGCAGTGAACTCGTCTGGATTTTGGGTCTTACATGCCAAAGCTGAAAGTCAGCATGCATTTGAAACAGCACAGTGCTGATGTTTATCGCAGGGCTTGAACGGAACCAAGCCCTGGCTGGTTGGGAGACTGCTTCTGTTATTTCTCCTTTTGCTCTCTGTTTCTGTCTCAGTAGATCTGGCTGAGGAGGTATTAAAAAGCCAGAAGAGCTAATGTTTGGTGCCCTATCTATAAAGAAATTGATAATTGTGCTGAAGGGTCTGGAAGGTTTAGTAATATAATTCATTTCAGGTTAGGTTAGTGACTGAGCTGAACGAAAACCTCTGTGACGGTCTGTGACGGATTTTTGTCCTAGCATCCCATCACTATGGGAGGGTTCTGTTTGTTTTTAAAATGGGATCTCACTAGATAGTCCTGGCCGGCTTATGTAGAACTATGGGAGATTTTTAAGAAGTCATTACTTTATCTTAAAACACCACAGTAGTGTGAAAATTCAAGTGGTTTTTAATGACTTCCGGGCGGACTTTGAATTTACTGTAACTAACTTACAGACTTTTCTCTTATGAGTAAAAGGATTTCTCTGAGTGCTGTGGCTGCCCAGTGGTTTTCTACTTGTCTGTAGTTGGTGCTTTTTTGTGTGACACAGAAGGCAGCTGTCTGGTGTCCAGTCAGGAGAACTATCCTTTCCTTTAGAGTGCATCACTGTAAGAGTTTTCTTTTCATCCTCTAAACTCCTGGTTGCCATTTTATAAGTTCTGGGACAGGAATCTAAAGAGACTGAGCAGCTGGCTCTCAACTAACACTACTAAATAGAAGAGTGAGGGCCAAAATGCAGTTCTCGTGACCTCCAGTGACACCACACCATGCCATGAGTCCTGCCTCCTTCAGGAGTCAGTCAAGGAGTATAATTACACAGAAGTCTTTCTATTAATTTTTAAGAGTCTTTAGGAGCTTGTATCTAGACAGATGAATTAATTTTCGTGTGTGTGTGTGTGTGTGTGTGTGTGTGTGTGTGTGTGTGTGTGTGTGTGTGTATGTGTGTGTGTGTGTATCTGTGTGTTGCTTGGGATTGAACCCAGGGCCTCCCTCATGCTCGACAAGCACTCTGCCACTGAGCTGTACCCACAGCTCTCTTTACTTTGAAGCAGCCTTACTAAGTTTCCTTAGCTGGTCTTGAGGTCATTCTATGGCCCAGGTAAGTCTTGAACTTCTGCTTGTCCTGCCTCAGCTTCGAAAGCAGCTGGTATCGTAGGCCTGAACCATTAGGAACAGCCAGACATTTTAATTTGAATTTCTACCCTAGAGCAAGTCAATTTTCTTGTGGAGTGCTTTACTATGATGGAGTAATTCAACATGATCAGCACAGAAAAGGTAACACACACACACACACACACACACACACACACACACACACACACACACACACATACACACACACGATCCTTCTTTGCTAGGCCATTCACTTTGAATAGTCCCAGTGACTTCTGGGTTTGCCCAGGCACCTGCTCTCCTAAGTCTTATTTTATCCAGATGACAGCAAGAGAGAGTTCAGGTTGGAAGACACTTTCTTGTGCGCATCAGCACATCTATGTGAAAACCCACCAAACAGAGCAAAATCTGAAGGCCTATAATGAGTGTTTTCTCTTCAGACATCAATTTCAGTCTTGGAACATCACCCATCACATTGTTTGGGAGGATTGGATCCTCCTGAAACTGGAGAAAAGGAAATCCCCACAATTGTGTTTTCTGTCAGTACTCACCCTTGCCCACATTTTCTCGTAAGGAGTGTTGGTGCTCTGGGTCTCCAGGATAGTCCCAGGGCTGCAGTCTGCTGGCCTGACTCCTCCTTGTCATAGCTCCCCTGGAAGAATGTTGGCGTGGCCCTCTGCCAGTGTCTGCCGTTCGAGACTCACAGTTCACTAACCTTGAAGACACAAGTTGGAAATGGAAAGGTGTTTAGAATTCTGGAAAGGGTCAACTCATTTCTGTCAGTTAAGGGTCACATCCCAGTTGTCGAGAAGGTCAAATCTACAGTGTCACGAACGGAATCCTCCATTCACTTATTCACATATGCACAAAATCATAGACAGTTCTCGCGACATCTACTTAAACGTCAAAGATACATTAAACATGGTCCTGCCCTGGAGCAGCTCACACTCTGGGCAAAGTGAAATGTGTAGTGACAGGCCCCTGGGTGTGTGTGTCAAGGGAGAACACGAAGATGGAGAAGACTGGCACTAGGTGCATCCTGAGCGGTGGGTGATGTTACAGGTTTCCTCATCAGGAATGGAGGTCAAAGGGCTCTCTCTGTCTGCAACCTACAGCTCTAGTCATGGACTTGGCTTGCTTCCTGCTCTCCCACACCTTTTGCCTCATCTCAAACCCCTCTCTCAACCCATTTACCATGTTTCTGTTAATCTGTTTGAAGGCACCTCCTGTGCCTGCTTTACCTGTTACCGGCAGCTTGTGAGGGTCACTCAAGCCATGTGTTTTTCAAATTTCCTCCCAAAGAGAGAAACATTATATTTGGAAGTGTGACTTTTAAGTAGTTTAGAAACAAAGCTTGGATTTTGATTTTTTATTTGGAAGAAAAATCTTCTGGACTTTCAGAGGGCTAGTGCTGCCCAGTATCTTACCTTTTATCTCCTCACAGCTGTAAGATTCAGTTCTGAAGTGGTGTGTGTGTGTGTGTGTGTGTGTGTGTGTGTGTGTGTGTGTGTGTGTGTATTTATGGACTAGTATTAAAATATATGTTCTTAGAAAAACCCTGATAGTTAAACCACACATGCTATGTAGAAATCTTTTTGAGAATTGGCAATCTGAATCTTTGCAAGAGGAAAGAGTTTCCCCTGTCAAGAACAAAATCAAAATTGAGTAAGTGTTGGAGCAGAACAGTGAGGAATGGATCTGGCACACGGTAGCTGCTATGCTAGCTGTCTCCTGAATCTGCTCAGCTGCCCTCATGAGGAAGACAAGCATTTCTAGAGCTCCATTTCTAGAGCTGCATTCCAAGCAGAGGGCAATGGGAGTTGGTCTCCATTGCTTCTGTAAGGATGGTAGCAGCCTCCTGCAATTTTGGTTTCACAAACACAGTATTTTCTCATCTTTGTAAGGAGGAGGGGAAGGAATTTTCCCCTAAGACACTTGCAGTGGCATGGCAAGGGGCCGAGAGCCTATGATTCATTTGCTCTGCTGAACCCATGCATGGTTACCCAAGCTTCTCCGTCCCCAACGGAGCAGGGAACTAGCAGGGAGTTACAGGGCCATTGCCAGCATCCTGTTCATGTCCCTGTAGGTCCTCACACCTGCGCGGATTTTAACTGCCAAACTGTCTGTGTTTACAAGGCAATCACTTAGGGCCGAGTTCTGTTTGTAGAAGTCATAGAATACAGCACCAGGAATTACATAATTATATTTGTATGTGTAGGGGTGTGTGTGTGTGTGTGTGTGTGTGTGTGTGTGTGTGTGTGTGTGTATGGAAGATGATACACGACAAAGGTGGAGCTTAATAAATTGTGAGGCATGTACCTGACACCCAGATGCAGGCATGCAACAATCCTGGGACCCTGGAAATTTGCAGTGAAATCTCCCTATACATACTTTTCAAATTTTCTTTCTGGTTCTGGGGATTAACCCTTGAGCCTCATGCATGTTAGGGAAATGTCTTACTAATAAGCTGTATTCTCAGACTTCTTTACTTCTTACTGAACCAAGCCTGGGTCCCCCAGGCCGGCCTTGAGCTAGTGGTCTGCCTCCCCCAGCCTCCTGTACAGCTGGGACTGAAGACATGTGCCACCAGGGTCTCTACCACCCTTTCTTCACACACAGAAGGCAGCACTGCCCTTAGCTCCAGGCAAGGATGATTCTGTGTAGATCCATGGGCTTTGGAGTCTGAATTTCTTCCAGCCGAACACCTTCTAAATGAATCTGTGGCCAAGAGGTAGTGTGAATGAGGAGACTGTGCTTGCCTTGCAAGACCATGTGCCAAGTTATAGGACGTTAGTAATCCCAGCCCAGTGATTCTAGCCACTTCCAGGTCTTTTCCTCTGGCTTACCTTGCTGTGGGGTGGGGCCGGGTGAGGGGGGGGGGAAGCGGGGAGGGGATGAAAGTAGACTTAAAGGCTGGGAGGTGCATGCCCAGGGCAGCAAGGCCCTTGAAACATGGAGTGGAAAACTTGGATGGGAGGCTGGGTCTGGGGACCAATTCTAGGGTGTCACATGTTCCAATGTGAAGCTGTGAATGTCCCAATGGTCCTACAGCCAGACAGAAGTTTTCTTTACCAGCATTGTGGTGTAAGCTATAGTTCTTAAGTATATATGACTATAGTGTACACTCTTACTTAAATACCCCATTTGGGGATGGGAGATGTTCCAAATTTATTTTCAGAAAAATATACAATATGGCATAATGTAACTCTTTTATTTTACATCTTCCAATGATGTCAGAAACACACACACACACACACACACACACACACACACACACACACAGAAAGTAAAAAGGAAAATGAATTACATAGAATACCTGTCACAAATTTTTTATCTGCACATAAGCAAAACAGTATTAGAAATATATTGCTGGGTCCCCAGTTAGTGATTGTAGCAATTTTCTGCTTAAATGTTTTTCTCAGCAGTGAGCTTGCTGAAAGGTAACATCACAGCAAAGGTAAAGTGGAAATCTGAGAGGTGGGGGGGGGGGGGTTGTGAGAGGGTCCTTAAGTTATTGGAGGTGCTGTCAAGGGGGACTTGGTATCCTTCCTTGCTGCTTTCTGGCCACAGATGTGAGCACTTCCTTGAACCCAATTCTGCCGTGACATGCCACCCTCATCAAGTCAGTGGGGCCTCTTGATCTTATAGACTCAACCCTCTAAAACTGTGACCTCTCTTGACTTCATAAGCAGCCTGTCTCGTGTAGTTCACCATAGGAGCAGGCACCTGACAGATGTGCTCTGTAGTGGTGCGTGTATCCCAGAGCATCCGCTGATATTGTGGGTGTACCCCACTGGGAAGGAGAAACACAAAAGGAATCACCACTGCTGGTGGAATAGAAACTAGCCTAGCCACCTTGGAAATCAGAATGGAGGGGTCTATTGTTGTGGTAAAAACACCACGACCTTAATAAAGCAGCTTGAGGAAGGAAATAGTTTATTGGTTATTCATCCATGTCACACTCCATCACTGAGGGAAGTCGGGGCAGGAACTCAAGGCAGGAACTTGCAGGCAAGAACTGAAGCAGAAACAGTGGAAGAATGCATGGCTTTCCAGGGCTTATTCAGCCTGCTTTCTGATACAACCCAGGACCAACTGCCCTGGGGTGACACCACCCACAGTGGGCTGGGCCCTCCCACGTCTCTCATTTGTGGTTCTTAGATTTCATATAGATACATAAAAACATGTATGTACCCACGTCATGAAAGAAGAAGCAAACTGTTTAGGGGATCAAGATAACTAATTGGGGGGATGAGAAAGAGAAGGTTGAGGAATATGGGAGAGGATATGGTCAAAATACATTTATATGCTTGCACAAAAATAGTCTCGTGTAGCCCAGGATAATATATAGTTTAAAAAAATAAGGAAAGAAAAAGAAAACAGCAGGTATATGGGAAGCCAAGTTCCTCAACTTCCTTCCTCTTTGCAATGAAGGAACTGTCCCCCACTACCTCCATGCCAAGCTACTATTCTATCTGTTACTCAGGGCTATTCTCTCTCATCTTCTCAGGGCCATCTCTATAAATTGTCTCCCCTCTCTCCTGACTTGATCTCACGGTGCTCAGGTCACCGGGATTACTTGGTTGTCTGAATCCTTCTCATATGGCCTCTGTGTAAAAAGGGAAGGAGGCAGTGTGGAGGTCTGCCTTCTTCATCTGATCCATTCATATGTTGATGTCCTAAGCCCTGGGGATAGCATTGATTTCTGGAAACAGTATCCTTGCAGATTACCCTAGTTATGAAGAGATCATACTGTTCCAAAGGGGAACTTCAATGCATACACACAGAGGAAAGTAGAGATGAGTAGACACAGGAGGCAAGAAGACTGTCTATCTGCATGCCCAGTATGGAAGCCTGGAAAAGCTCCTTCCCTTCCAGTCCTCAAAGGAAACCAATCCTGGCAGACTTTGACCTCCAACTTCGGCCTCCAGAAGAGGGAGATAATGAATTTTTGTGGTTTGTGCCCCACTCCCAGTTTCTTTTGATACTAGGAAACTATCCCTTGGAAGTTGTGTTGGTATTTTATTCATTGAAGCTGTGTTAGTGTTTTATTCATTGACCTTTTGTAGTAGAATATTATTTTAAAGTGTGTTACTTTTGTTTATGTTGCATTTGTTTAACTCTGTGAAGCTGTATTACTATGCCTATGTAAAACACCTGTTGGTCTAATAAACAACTGGCCAATAGCAAGGCAGGAGAAAGGATAGGTGGGGCTAGCAGGCAGAGTGTATATATAGAAGGAGAAAAGTGGGAGGAGGGAGCTAAGATCTAGCAGCCAAAGGAGGAGGAGGACTCCAGGGGCCAGCCACCCGTCTACACAGCAAGTCACGGGGTAAGAGTAAGATTTACAGAAATAAGAGAATGGGAAAAGCTCAGAGGCAAAAGATGGATGGAATAAGTTAAGGAAAGCTGGCAAGAAACTAAGCCAAGCTAAGGCTGGGCACTGATAATTAAGAATAAACCTTCGTGTGTGATTTATTTGGGAGCTGGGTGGCGGGCCCTCCAAGAGTAAAAAAAAAACAAACAACAATGACCTTTGCCATTTATTACCTGCCATCTCCTACAAGTGCCTTCATTGACCCCTCAAAGCCTTAATCTCTTCATATATAGAAGGGGATAGAGAAACATTTGCCTCGTGGAGTGTTGCGGAATATTCCTTTACACTGTGTGAAGATGTGTCACTGTGATTGATCTAATAAAGAGCTGAATGGCCAG